GTACATTCTACTGAACAATAGTAATATATTTCTGTCAATGCCTTCAAGTTAAACCGAACTTTTATTTTGACGGGTTGCCGTGAATACCTTTGCATTTCTGTGTATATGATATGAGGATAGTTTTACTCAAATGAAACGGTCAAATGCTCATGAAGTGACTCTCAGGGAAGTTTTGGTGATGTTGTTCATGTATTTATGTCCTCATTTAGTGAGATGGCAGACGCTAAAATCACTGCAAGCGTCACGCACGCTTCAGTACGAGTGGTAAACAAAACCGTGCGTCTGCGCCATTCATTGACACAGAGACACGCAGAATTCATTGAAATATGAATCGTTTTGCCGCTTAATATTTACAAATAGTAGTGGGAGTGGGAGTGGGAGTGCGCTCACTTGTGTGTGTGTGTGTGTGTGTGTGCGTGCGTGCGTGCGTGGGCGGAACTCCGCTGTGCGTGATGCAGAGAGCGCGACCATGTAACGTAGAGACGAAGGTTACACTTTATTTCGATAGTCCACTTTAGACATTCTATTAACTATAAGTAACTTTGTAACTACATGTCAGTCACATGTCAACTAATTATCATTAATTTGCAACTACATGTCTACTAACTCTCAGAGTAGACTGTTAGGGTAGGTTTAGGGTTAGTAGAATAAGTTGACAAAGAAAGTGTTAGAAGATAGTCTTAAGTGTTAAGCAGACAGTCTACTAATACTCGACTAACTGCTAGTTGACATGTAGTTGCAAAGTTACTTACTGTTAATAGAATGTCTAAAGTGGACTATCAAAATAAAGTGTAACCCCCTTTTTTTTTTTTGTAGTTATAGCTCTGGAAATGTGCTGAAATTGTTTGCTACATTAATAAATAATATATTTTTTAAATGTTCTACCCAAGACTGATTGATCAGAAGGTACACAAGTTGGTTTGAAGGGACATTTGAACCAAAAACAAAAAGACAAAACATTTACTCAAACTCATGTCTTTTCAATCCCTCATCTTTAAAACAAAAATGAAGATATTATTAATATTATCTCGTTGTCCATCCATTAAAAGTCTATTAACAAACAGAAGTCAAGCAAGCATATTTGAGCCATGATCTAAAAGTGGATCTGTCACCCATGGCTTTTCCATTTTGGCCTAGTTTTTGTTACATAAATAATGACACGGTGTGATATGTCATGTGTTGTTGTTCATTGTTCTATCGGAAAGGCAACTTTAAATTACTTCTGTTGTGATCTGGCGCTAGAGAGAAAATATAATTAAATAAAATTAACTTGACCTTCAAGGGGGGGCGGGCCGCCCCCCTAATATAATGTCAGGGGAAACACTGCTCTTTATAACACATGACAGGGACACAAGCCTGAGCAATACTCCTCACCATTCCCAGGAGTCTCAGCACCGCAAGTCTTGTTTCCAGGCTCATCTATCGGTCTTCAACACTTTCTCACGCCTTTGTCTATTCTTGGCTTCTCAACTTTTTGTCACTTTGATTAGCTTAATATTTCTTCTCTATTTCTTCTCTGTGAGAATTTTGTGTTGAATTATCATCACATTTTGGTGTAATCAAATGTGTAAATCTAACGTGTAGTGAGCAACTCAGTGTTGTTAAAGGATGCTACACGCACTTTTACAAGTTGTTTGAACTTTCCTAATAATGTGCTAATTAGCAAGTTTCACCATGAAAGTGAAAAGAGAGGGGCGGGGTCGGCAGAGAGGGGCGGGGTCAGCAGAGCTCATTAACATTTAAAGGAAAATGCTACAAAAATGGCTTGATCTGAAAAGAGCTGTTTTTGACAGGGTAAAAAAGGTGTTTTTTACACTACCATTGAGAAATTGTAACCAAACTATGTTACAGACTTTTCATTAAGACCCTAAAGAATCATATCAACTTGTGGAAAATGGGCATCCTATGACCCCTTTAAGAGTATTACTGATAAAGTCCAGTGTAAAATAATTGATAATTAAGATGTTACTGTGTACTCCCATTCAATGGCTTCAGAGTTTTATACACATTAGAGGTCAAATTATTCAAATTTTTGTGAAGACAAATGTCTTAAAGACTTCATTATGTGACTTGTAACCCATGTTTGTTATATTTTGAGGCTATGCTTGTAGATACAATGTCTACATTGAATGCAAATGTAAGTGACTTTGGATAAAAAGTGTATTTATATGCTCACGTACTTCTAAAAGTTGACTAAATACATATTTAGCAGATATTCCCAATTTAATATTTACAGTTTTTCTATTTCTGGCAATAAGACCAAAATGTAAATAACTCATCTTCTCAGTTTTATGTCTTATTATCTTTATATCAATTGCAATGCTATCAAGAATGAAAATGCCCCTAATATTAGCAAAACACTATAGCAGAATGCATATGAAAATAATGCAAATAATAATTAGAATGGAACACTAACTTAGTTTTTAGAGCATAATGAGCAATATACAATGTATATTTGAATAGTTAGTGGAAAAACTGCATTTTGCAATGATAAAAGTTAGAAACAACAGTATTCATAGACTTTATGTTTCTCACAGCGTCTAGTTACCATTTTTGAATAAATAAATAAAAGTAACCATATTTAATTCCATTTTATTTGAAAAATTATGTGACTTCTGACAGTCTGATTAAATAATGAATCAAAATAGATATTTTACTGTGGCTGATGTTACTTCTAGCTCATTTACACAATATACACATTTTGGCAAATTTAGTTGGCCATCTCGTTTTTCGAAGCATGCAGAAAATGTGCAAACTGTGCACAGTATGCTACATTCAGATATGAATTATAAATTATAATGTAGCAATAATAAGAATAGTCTGTTATGCTATTTCGAACATAGCCATGATGTAAACTGAAGACTCTTGGTTATAAAAAAAAAATAAAAATCTGTATGAATATTTAAAAAATCCAAAAATAGCTTGCTTCCTGTCTCATCAACTGAACTAAAGGCTTGATAATCCTGTTGAAGTTGAAGTGAAGCTGCATCATGGATTGACCCAGTGTGGAACTGAAGGGAGCTGGACTCTAATCATTTAATTCATGGTAATTAGTTGCAGATTTAGGGGATTAAAATGCCATACAATGTGTCAAAGTATAAGACTAGTCCAGTGTCTACAGGGCCGCATGCCAGAGTCCATTATCAGCAAAGGGCTGCATTCAATTCTGCTTCAGAGGCCTGCTGTCTTTGATCAACAGTAAGCAGATTTGCATGTGCCACAAACACTATTTGCATATAAGCATTTCTAAAACAGTCTGACATTAAAGAAACAGATCCAAACTGACGCTGTTATTAAACAGATTTTTAGCTAGCACGGTTGGAGAAACCTATCAAACCCTGTCAAGAACATGTCTGGGTCATATTTCAGAATGAACAAAATGAAAAATAACATTTTGATGAAAATTAAACCTCTTTTGGGGCATTTCTTTTTTGTGCATATTGCATTTTGTGATTATTTTGTGACACTTCCTATTATCTTAACGCAACAAAACACCAACTCTATATTTTTGAATTTTTTTAAACTTATGTTTTATTCACATTACAAGATTTATTATTATGTATGGAAGGCCATTTCTGCCACAGAATAACAAAAAACGTAATTGCAACTTTTTCATCTCACAATTATGACTTTATTCTCAATTTTTTTTCCCCCGCCACAGAATAAAAAATAAAAGGTAATTGTGACATTTTAATTTCTCAATTCTGTTTTTTTCCCTCTCAATTGTGAGTTTATGTCTCACAGTTATGAGTTATATACACACAATTCTGAGGAAACACATCTAAATTCAGAGATATAACCTTGTAAGAAAAAGTCTGAATTGTGAGGGGGAAAAAATACTTTTTTATTCCATGGCAGAAACAAGCTTCCATATTCATGAGATGAGAATCTAATGAGAATGACAACTGAGAATAATTAAAACTGAAGACAAATTCAAAAGTAATATAGCCAAACTTAATTTCTTCCATTTTAATTTTGGTGATTAAAATGTGACCCGAACAGTTTTTGAGAGATTTACAAGGTCATCATAGTAAAGATGAATTTAAAGCAGCACTTACCACCACAATGTAGCGAGGTCTATATTGAATGGTGCCAAACAAGCCCAGGATGACAACCAGGATGTGGAAGAAGTTTGCAAGGATAGGAGCCCACTGGTAGCCCAAGAAATCAAACACCTGCCTCTCTAATGCCACCATCTGAGAGAGAGAAAGAGACGAGAGGACATACTGTATATTTAGATGAATGATTCAGATGAGGAACGATTTGGAATAAAGGTTTAAAGCATGTTGTGACAACTAATTTGCATGATCATTTTCCTTTTATTCTTTGATCATTTCAGTTGGAGGACTATCAAAGGATTTTTGGCAAGAGATTTTTGTGTCAAACTCTTAAACTGCAAAACACTTTTTGCAAGAACCAGAACAACAGAACATCTTAGTAATGATTCTTTCAAATTCAGAAGATCTGTAAAATAACGACACTGTAGTAGAAACATCTGGAGCTGTTCAAACGCAACAGCAAACACCTTTCAAAACTTCAATTATTGTCACACATTTGAAGCCAGTGGAAAAAGAATCCTGATCTATTAAAAATGACATATGTACAATTATATCTGTATCTTACAGGATTTTACTGTAACTACACTTACGTCTACAGTAGTTGTGGTGCCAGAGTTTTTTTTTTAATAAGCATGTTAATGCAAAGAAATACCACGTTTTCTCATTATTGACTATTTCCTAAGAGAACTCTCTCCAAACGCACTTTACCTGGTTCTAAAGGATGTCCTCTGAATAAGAAAAAAACACTTGTTTTATCATCAAGCATCTTTAAGTGGCTCTTAAAACTCCTCACACATCAAACAACTTGTTTTTATCATTCTAGCATGCATTTACTCAAGAGTGTATCGACATAGTCCACTAACGTGTGGAACACAAGGGTGGTGATTCGCCGACAGGTAGGGCTGGGTATCGAGTTCGATACTTTTTAGGCACCGACCGAATTGCCTCGATACCATTGAGTATCGAAAAACGTCTCGTCGTTCGGTACCAAATTTCGATACCTAAGGGGTTAATCTCATCAACGTCAGTGAGGCGCAGATCGATCAGTGTTTGACATCCGCGAGAGCGATGCGAAAACGTACGGAGCAGTCTGCTCGTGGTATCTTACTATAGCCTAATACACCGCAGGTCCCTGTGTCCCGCCGCCTCCTCCTGTGAGACTCGCTGTAAAGGGACGATTAATGAGAATTCAGTGAGAGTGTGGTGCGTGTTGTGAGCTGGCGGGCCGGTGACTGCATACTGTGAGATGATGAAAGAGGAAAAGACATGGAAACCTGCACCGCTTGCAAAAGGAAATAATGTTGTGTGATAGATGGTAATGAAATGGAAATGTTAATGTCGGTCTAATTAAACACCCCTGTTTCAAAATTTTAATTAATTACACTCTTTCTGCACTCATGAATGCCAATTAAATGTCAAATAGAACGACATTGTACACTTGTAAAAAATAAAGTTTTTTTTTTTTGCCATTTGTGGTTCCATTTATGAAATCTTTCCATTCCACAAAAAGGTTCTTTATATTATAAAAAAAAAAGGTTCTTTAGATTATGCAAATGTTCTTAACACTAAGAAACAAACTGATCTTTTAAGAACTGTTTACTGAAAAGTTATCAGGGGAACCATAATTGGTTCTTCTATGGCTTTTGCTGTGAAAAACACTTTTTGTAATCTTGGCTTTTAAGAGTGTTGGAGAAATAGAGATGACTACAGTAACTTCAGTGAGTTTGCCTACTACTTAAAGGCTCTTGGGTTTAAGTGAATAGTTCACACATAGATGAAAATTATGTAATCATTTACTAACCCTCATGTCATTCTAAACCTGACTTTCTTTTGTGGAATACAAAAAAAAAGATCTTTTGAAGAAGGGGCACAAAAATGTAAGTCATAAGCCAGGTTTCCATCCAAAGTTGCACATTTTACTTGTACGCAAAATTGGAATATCCAGCCGATCTCACGGCAATTCGTACATATTTTACGAGGTGGCTAATTCGTACGACCTCACTTGTACAAATTCATACGATTTTTTGCTAAATCGTACATATTTAAGAGTTGTACAATTCGTATGAATTTGTACGAATGACCTACACCTAACCCCGCCCCTAAACCTACCCGTCACTGGGGTCTAGACAAATCATACAAAATCGTACGAGTGAGGTCGTACGAATTCGTTCGAATTAGCCACCTCGTAAAATACGTACGAATTGGTTCTGAGATAGTGTTGTAATATCGCATAAAACATTTGCAAACAAGCACCGTTTCCATCCAACGAGTCAAAGAGAACAAAATCGTCACTTCCTGATAAACTGGCACTGTAATAATTAAGTAGGAGAAGCTACTGAATATAATAATTTTCCTATATAATAACTTGCACCTCAGAACGAGCAGACGAAATACAATGAATGAGGTTAATGCTTTCTGAGGTGGATGCCTGCTGTTTGGGAACGCAGTCGTGTAACAGTTCTGGGAGGCAATCATACAGAAATACTTTGATGACAAACATTGCTCGGGCATTTCCGAATGACCATAAAAACATTCCAGATGCTGTGGAACAAGATCGGTCCGCTGGTTAGTCAGGATTTGCCGTCCCTTAGCACAAAGTCACATGACTTTTTTGATGTGCTTGGAGGAATTTATTCGCAAAATGCATTTCCATCTCCCATTATTCGCATCAACCCTTTTTCGCTGGGAGGCAATCATACAGAAATACTTTGATGACAAACATTGCTCGGGCATTTCCGAATGACCATAAAAACATTCCAGATGCTGTGGAACAAGATCGGTCCGCTGGTTAGTCAGGATTTGCCGTCCCTTAGCACAAAGTCACATGACTTTTTTGATGTGCTTGGAGGAATTTATTCGCAAAATGCATTTCCATCTCCCATTATTCGCATTAACCCTTTTTCGCAGAAGTCAAAAACCACCTCAAGCGAGCATAAAAACTTGCGAATTAAGCCATTTTAATTCAAAATTCAACATTTCCATCACTCGTTTCTCATGCGATACTTCAAAATGCGTATAAAAGCAGGGTGATGAAAACATAGGTATAGTTGACTGAAAAGTGGGCCTGCTTTTACTGTCGACTCTCTCATTTGTGTTTTTGCACACTGAAACATGGTGTGTGAAGATAACAAAGCGGTCTTATAACCGATCATGATGTGCCAAGTATGAATATGTGAAAATGTAAATGAGATTTAAAGGGTTAGTTTACCCAAAAATGAAAATTCTGTCACTTTCATGTCATTCCAAACCCGTAAGACGTTCATTCATCTTTAGAACACAAATTAAGATATTTTTGATGAAATCCGAGAGCTTTCTGACCCTGCATAGACAACATAACTAACACGTTCAAGGCCCAGAAAGGTATTAAAGACATCGTTAAAATAGTCCATGTGACATCAGTAGTTCAACCTTAATTTTATGAAGCTACGAGAATGCTTTTTGTGTGCAAAGAAAACAAAAATAACAACTATATTCAACAATTTCTTCTCGTCCATGTCAGTCTTCGACATGCATTCACAACACTACCGTGACACATATTATTTTTGTTTTCTTTGTGCACAAAACATATTCTCATAGCTTCATAACATTAGGGTTGAACCACTCATGTCACATGGACTATTTTAACGATGTCCTTACTACCTTTCTGGGCTTGGGAACGTTTCAGTTGCGTTGCTGTCTATGCAGTCAGAAAGCTCTCGGATTTCATCATAACATTTGTGTAGATGAACAACGGTCTTATGGGTTTGGAATTAAATGAGGGTGAGTAATTAATGACAGAATTTTCAATTTCATTCTTCATTTTCTTTATGCCAAACACAATTCTTTTTTATTCCATTTCTTTTTGGGGTGAAATATGGCATGTCTATGTTTGATTTATCTATCTGAGGAGCCCGGTCTCATGAAAATGCGTATAAATAGCACGCCTAATAAAAACGAAAACTCGTGGTATTGATACGCAAAAATTGACTTTGGCGTGCATATGATACGCATGTGTTTGGCGTGCATATAATACGCAGTTTTTGCGTGGATACGCATGTGTTTGGCGTGCATATAATACGCAGTTTTTGCGTGCATATGATACGAAATTTGTTGGCGTGCATATGATACGCAGTTTTCACGTACATATGATACGCATCTACCCCACAACCCTAAACCTACCCATCGCGTAGCATATACACGCCAAAGTCCATTTTTGAGTATCAATACCACGAGTTTTCGTTTTTATTTGGCGTACTATTTATACGCACTTTCATGAGATCGGGTTGATCTGAGATAAGCCAATATAGTCAGCATAACACAAAAACATGTATTCACTGATTTGCTTCATATGATTCATTAGAAAGATTTGTCTTGTTCCATTAAAAGCATAAGTTCAGTCACACAGTATGGATATTTCAGCAGTCACCTCATATTTCCATCATTACAACATTATCAAGCTGCTTCTGGGCCAGCTCCATGTTTTAGCACATACTTCATGTATTTGGGAAAAAACCCTGAGAAGTCTAACAGTGTAATTTTAAGCCCTTTAAGTACACAAAGTTACAAAAGACCAAGCACCACTGGACCGCTGAAAGCCTTAGTGACTTCAGCCAAAGAAAAATTAAGATATGGAGCAAGTTGTTACATTTTGCAGAACAAAACCAGGAACTTGTATAAAGAAAGCAATTAAAAACCCTATCTTCCCAATCCAATTTTCATTTCATGTTGACTAGGTTCCACTATTTCACATTTAGCACCGATTTTTAGTGAGCAGACTCTCTCTCGCCAGTGAGAAACACTGAATATTGACCACTATCCAAATGTAACATTCACAACCTAATGGCGTCCTAGTTTCCCGCCAGAGAGAGAGAAATCAAATCAACTCTAACGACACACAGGAGGATAACACAACCGGACGACTGATAGCTTTAGTAACCGTTTGAGAAGCCAAAATTGGGAAAGACTGTTATTGGTGAGTGCTGGAATTAGGCTAATCAGGACTTTGGCAGGTGGTGTGATTGTGCTTGTGGAGTTTTGGAACAGTTTCAGTGCTGGAGTGTGATTTCTGTCCAGGCTGTTGAGAAGTGTGTTGGGTTGGGTTTTGGGGTCGTCCTGGAGTATCAACAGATTAATGGAAGAAAATGTGGTTAGGTCAGCTG